ACTCTGAAGCTCAACACCAACCTGATGCGCCACTGCCAGTGAGAAGGAAAGGTGGAGGTGGAACTTTTGGCCAGTAGTGTATAAAAGAAGAACATTTTTATAAAATATATTTAACATTCTGGTACCTGATTCAATACAACGTTTCAGCCATGTTAAAACGAAACTGCTATTACAAAACACCTGGGGCCTCATTTATAAAATGTTGCATATAAATGGTCCTAAATTTGCTCTAAGATCATTTCTCAAAAGTGCGTAAGTGCGATTCAGAGAAAACGAACGTGTGCACAAAAACACGTGCATACGCCTCTCTTCCAGATGTGACGTTTATAAATCGCAATGATCTTGAAATTGTGTGCAGCTGACTGGTGTCAGATCTCCGCCTTGTAAACGCCCCCTAATTAATATCATTACCATATAAAAGATCACAATCCATGTTAAAACGAAACTGCTATTACAAAACACCTGGGGCCTCATTTATAAAATGTTGCATATAAATGGTCCTAAATTTGCTCTAAGATCATTTCTCAAAAGTGCGTAAGTGCGATTCAGAGAAAACGAACGTGTGCACAAAAACACGTGCATACGCCTCTCTTCCAGATGTGACGTTTATAAATCGCAATGATCTTGAAATTGTGTGCAGCTGACTGGTGTCAGATCTCCGCCTTGTAAACGCCACCTAATTAATATCATTACTATATAAAAAAAGCACACGCCAATATCCGAGTCTGAAATTTAGGTCCTGCTGGTGGAGGTAGAGGTTTGTGTGGGGATGCTTTTTATTTAAAGGGGTCATATGATGTTGTTAAAAAGAACATTATTTTGTGTATTTGGTGTAATGAAATGTGTTTATGTGGTTTAAGGTTCAAAAGCACATTATTTTCCACATACTGTACATTATTGTTTCTCCTCTATTCCCCGCCTTTCTGAAAGGCATCAATTTTTACAAAGCTCATCGGTCTGAAAAGCAAGGTGTGCTGTGATTGGCCATCTATCCAGTGCGTTGTGATTGGCCGAATACCTCAAGCGTGTGACGGAAATGATACGCCCCTTACCATACTGTGATGTCATGTCCGGTCTGAGTGACGAGACAAAAACATTAAAACCCATTATAAGCGAGTCATTTGTTGCATCCAGTGGGGACATACTGTAATTATGGATTATAATGACTTATACTGTCTTTTTACGTGTTGCGTTGCATCGCGCCATGTAAACATAAAACCATGTCTGCATTTGTGATCGGAGAAATGACAAACAACAAGCGCAACTCTACACTGCTAAAAACTCACGTTTGAATCATCAGTGGCAAATCCTTTAAATATGAAAACGTACTTACAGTCTGTGAGCCAGAACAGCCGGCATTGTAGTCTACTCTCCCAGGATCAGGAAACAGTCCTCCATAAAATGTGCAGCACACATCTGAATATTTGGGTTGAACTGTTCTGGAACAGTGTTGTAAATACAACTTAACCACTGATTTCTAGTCGTGTCCTCTTTTGGAAGACCAAACAAAGTAGTTTCGCTTTCACAACGAAACACACAACACCACACACGGCAGGCTTGAGTGAGCGGAGGCCGGCGGGCTAGAGTGAGGAACGGCCGGCGGGCTTGCGACAACCACATGTGACGACCCCGGGCTGGACTCCGCTTCGTCCACGGTGAAAACCGATCCGGTGATCCACAGCACAAAGTTGATGTAACAATGAAACTCTTCATGACATGGCAGCGGTGGCAACAACACTACTACAGTGAGAATAAAAGTTACGCCTTCTTTCTTTGTTTCTTTGCATAGGCGGCGTTATGCAAATCTTCCCACATAGTGACGTAGACATGTGGGGGCGTGTTAGAACGAGCCGTGTTAGGTAGGTGTGGCTGACTCTTAACTTTTATAAAGAATATCTCTTTGGGTTTGAGACTTTAGTCTTTGCAACTTTACAGATCTTCTTTATGCACCAAGAGCTTGTAACACTCCAAAGAGAAAGGAA